TGCATCCTCGTGGTGGCCACAGTTGTGCACGCCCCAGCCCAGGCTCAGGCAGGCAGCCAGGCGGGGCTCACCACCCTCGCAGTGCACGTTGTCCAGCAGGATGTGCCCCGTGCCGTAGCCGAAGAAGGCGTTGGTGGTGGCAGCCAAGGCCGCCCCGCAGCCCAGCTGGCGGCAGACCACGGCGGCATCCGGCAGTCCCCAGTCGTCATCACACACGGTGCCCCACAGGCCGCCGTGCAGGATCTCCACTCTTCCCTGGCATGGGCCGGCGCCCCCCACCAGGCGCACGCTGCCCTCCCCTGGTGAAGGCAGGCAGAGAGCAAGGGTCCGATCCCACCGGGATCTGCCACTCCAGCCTAGGTGCCTAGGCCATGCCCATGCATGCAGTTCTGTGCTCCAGGACTCAGAACTCGGGTGGGGTGGGGGCGGGGGCTGCTGATTGCCCCTCACCCACAGCTGAGCCTCCTCAGGCCAGGGGGAGGAGTATGGTTTGAGGGATCTCAAGGCTTCGACTGTGACACTTCTGCCTAAAACCAGCCCTCCTCACCCCAGCCCTGCCAGCCTAAAACCAGTTCGTGCCCCTGCTCTGCTTGCTCACTTACTTCTGCCCAATGAAAACCTTTCCCCTCCCTGAAGCCCTCCTTAATGTGTATGTGTGTATGTGTGAGGGGCGGGGGAGGAAAGGAGGGATGGAGTGTGAGAGTACTGGGGCTTGAACTCAGGGCCTGGGCACTATCCCTGAGCTTTTTCCTTCAAGGCTGGCACTCTACAACTTGAGCCACAACACCACTTTTTGCATTTTGGTGGTTAATTGGAGATAAGGGCCTCACAGACTTTCCTGGCTTTGATCAGATCTCAGATCTCAGCCTCCTGAGTCATTAGACTTGTAAGCATAAACCATCAGCACCAGGCTAAGTTCTCGTTCATGAAGGTTGGGATATTCTTTTCTTTGCTGGGTTCCTTTGCCTTAACTGTCCCTTAACTGTCCCTCAGTAAAAGGACCTTGCATTCCCCATTCTCCCATTGGATTTTTACCACCACCACCACACACTCACCTCACACACACCATCACACCTTGCTTACTCTGTCTAGCCTTCAATTTGTAATCTGTTCTCACCCGCTAAAGTGTGGGAGACTCATAAAAACCCAGGTAGTGTCACACACTACTCTTTCTTACCTTTCCCGTTCTGAGGAGCTGTAGTGGGCGTGCTACTGGTTAATGCCTTCCTCATTGGCGGCTGGGTGGACAAGAATTCTGAGGAGGAAGCAGGGTGGGAGGAAGGATACAGGATCTTTTGATTGATTCTCCGTCCTCTTCATGCAAATGAGGGGCGTGGTCACTTCTAAGGAGCCTGACTCCAGTGTCTCTCTTCACATGACTGGTCAAAGCCAAGAACCCAGAAGAACCCAGGGAGGAATATGATAGCAGAAAGGGCCACCCAAATCCTTTTTTGTTTTGTTTTGTTTTAGTGAGACAAGTTGTTGCTATGTAGCCCAAGCTGGCCTGAAACCTGAGACCTTCCTACTTTAGCCTCCAAAGAGCTGGGATTACAGGTATGCACCACCATACCTCGATTCTAAACTCTTTTTTTTTTTTTAATCAATTGTGGGGCTTGAACTCAGAGCCTGAGTGTGGTCCCTGAGTTTGTTTTTGCTCAAGGCTAGTGCTATACCTCGCTTCTAAACTCTTTTTTTTTAATCAATTGTGGGGCTTGAACTCAGAGCCTGAGTGTTGTCCCTGAGTTTGTTTTTGCTCAAGGCTAGTGCTGTACCTCTTTGAGCTATAGACCTCTAGTTTTTAGGTGGTAAATTGGAGAGAAGAGTCTCACTGGGCTGGTAATGTGGCTTAATTTTATAGTGCTTGCCTTGCATGCATGAAGCCCTGGGTTCCATTCCTCAGCACCACATAAGCAGAAAAAGCTGGAAGTGGTGCTGTGGCTTCAGTGATAGAGTGCTAGCCTTGAGCTGAAGAGCTGAGGGACAGCGCCCAGATCCAGAGTTCAGGCCCTATGACTGGCAAAAAAAAAAAAAAAGCCAAAAACTGGGGTGGGAATGTGGCTTAGAGGTAGAATGCTTGCCTAGCATTCATGAAGCCTTGGGTTCAATTCCTCAGTACAACATAAACAGAAAAAGTGACACTGTGGCTCAAATAGTAGAGTGCTAGCCTTGAGCACAAGAAAGTCAGGGACAGCTGGGCACCGGTGGCTCATACTTGTAATCCTAGCTACTCAGGAGGCTGAGATCTAAGGATCATGGTTCAAAGCCAGCCTGGGCATGAAAGACTGTGAGACTCTGTTTTTTTTTTTTGTCTGTTGTGGGGCTTGAACTCTGGGCCTGAGCACTGTCCCTCAGCTCTTCAGCTCAAGGCTAGCAATCTACCACTTGAGCCACAGTGTCACTTTCAGCTTTTTCTGTGTATGTGGTGCTGAGGAATCAAACCCAAGGCCTCATGCATGCTAGGCAAGCACTCTTACCACTGAGCCACCTTCCCACCGAGACTGTGAGACTCTTATCTCCAATAAACCACTAGAAAACCGGAAGTGGCGCTGTGGCTCAAGTGGTAGAGTACTCACCTTGAGCTGAAGAGCTGAGGGATAGCGCCCAAGACCAGAGTTCAAGCCCCATGACTAACAAAAATAAATAAATAAAAGAAAAGAAAAAGAAGCTGAGGGACAGTGCCCAGGCCCTGAGTTCAAGCCCCAGGACTGGCAAAAAAAAAAAAAAAAGAAAGGCAAAATCTCAGGCCCTGATCCAGACCTGTAGAATCAGAAACTCTAGGATGGAGATATGATTATGTTGTTATGAATGCTGCAAGCTTGAAAACTAGAACCACTTCTATGCCCAGAAACACATTTGGCCACTGTGACTACAACGATTTTTTTTTCTGGTTATTGGAGATGAGTCTTATAGACTCTTCTGTTTGGACTGTCCTTGAACCAAGATCCTCAGATCTCAGCCTCCTGAGTAGCTAGGATGACAGGCATGAGCCACCAGCGCCTGACTAGTTTTCTTTCTGTCCATGGTTGCACAATGAGCCAGAACAAGAAGCCAGGGGACCCAGCCTAGGCACTTCCCATTGGCACCAGCCAATGTAGTAGCTTCTAGCTCTGTCTTCATGGAACATGTTGAACACCAGGAAGTCCCTTCCTCTGTCTAGCCGACAGCCCTGATGCCTTATCCTAATGGGCCCCAGTCCTTGGCTCACCATCGCACAGGACGGCCACGTCTTCATAGTGGAAACAATTGTGGATGCCCCAGCCTCGGCTGCCACACTCGCTCAGCGCAGCTTCCTGCCCGCGGCACTCCACGTTGTCCAGAAGGATGGGGCCCCAGCCCTGGCCGAAGGCGAGGGGGCGAGGCACGGGCAGTGCCAGACCACAGCCCAGCTGACGGCACACCACATTGGCATCCACCACATCCCAATCGTCGTCGCAGACGCTGCCCCAAGAACCTCCATGCAGGACCTCCAGGCGCCCCCGACAGCGGCTCGGGCCCCCCACCAGCCTCAACTCTGCAAAGAGGGTCCAGCTGGCCACCAGCGGGGAGCAGGGGGCCCAAGCTACAGGGTGCCCACTATGCCAGGAACTTTGGGGTCCATCCCTCCGTGAGACTGGGAGGCTGGGAAATGCTAGACATAGAGGCATCTAGACTCTCTGGGAGCAGGTTAGTGCCCCAGGTCTTCTGCCTGAGGTTCTGAATACCTGGGGTAGGTGAGGTCAAGGAAGGGAGGCGTGGTACCTACCTGGAAAGGACAGTAGACTGGTCTGGAGGGCACTGGCTGAAACAGTGAGGAAGAGCATCCTCTGGCTGCCTGGCCCCCAGAACATGGTCTTCTCCCTTCTCCATCATCCCCACCTTGGTCCCTTCTTCTATCACTCTATCATTCCCCCCCTCTCCCTACTCTATCATCCCTGCCTTGGTCCCCTCCTCAATCTATCCCCTCCTTCTCCCCCATCCATTATTCCCACCCCTCTCCCTCCTCCATCATCCCCTCCTCCATCATCCCCTCCTCCATCATCCCCTCCTCCATCATCCCCTCCTCAGTCCCCTCCTCCATCATCCCCTCCTCCATCATCCCCTCCTCCATCATCCTCTTTCCCCAATCCTCCATCATCCCCTCCATCATCCCCTCCTCCATCATCCCTCCTCAGTCCCCTCCTCCATTATCCCCTCCTCCATCATCCCCTCCTCAGTCCCCTCCTCCATCATCCCCTCCATCATCCCCTCCTCCATCATCCCCTCCTCCATCATCCCCTCCTCTGCTCCTCCCTCCATCATCCTCTTTCCCCACTCCTCCATCATCCCCTCCTCTTGGACTCCTGCTTTTCCAAAGCCTTATCACCTCTTTCTGGGACTATTCCATTAGTCTCCACAGGCCACCCCCAAATATGCTTGCCTGAGATGTAGTCCTGCCCGTCTAACTCTATGGCTATGTCCCTTAAAGATTGTGGCAATCTCAACCACTGAGTTCTCTCCACAAAGCCTTCTAGTATCTTCTGACCAGCCTTATTTTGTTTATTCCTTGTGACTCTGAGGATGATCTCAGGGATTTGTGATCCTCCTGCCTCTGCCTCCCAAGGAGCCAGGATTACAGATAGGCAATACCACATCTGGCTTTCAGTCATCTAATGTCATTGATTCTCCCAGCTGCATTTCCAGCAGGGATGGTGAGCCCATCCCTTTCCCTCCTTCCCTGTTTCCAGTGACTGTTGACTGCCAGCTCTTAGTTGTTACCACTCGAGTGGTCCATGTCTCAAACTGAAGCTCTTTGTTTTTTGTTTTTTTTTTTGTCGGTCATGGGGCTTGAACTCTGGGCCTGGGCGCTGTCCCTCAGCTCTTCAGCTCAAGGCGAGCGCTCTACCACTTGAGCTACAGCGCCACTTCCAGTTTTCTAGTGGTTTATTGGAGATAGGAGTCTCACGGTCTTTCCTGCCCGGGCTGGCTTTGAACCGCGATTCTCAGATCTCAGCCTCCTGAGTAGCTAGGATTACAGGCGTGAGCCACTGGCGCCCGGCTCAAACTGAAGCTCTTTCTGAGCTGGAAAGACTGTCAGGATCCAGTTCATTCACACCCTCTCTCCTCCCCTGCCTCTGTCCATCCTTGGACAACTGGGGAAACAGAGCCAGAAAGAGAAGTGGTAGGGGCTGGCTGGGAGCACTCACCCAGAGGCAGGAAGAAGAGGAAGGACAGAGCTGGGGAGAGGGGAAGAGGTGGCAGAGGTGGAGGGGCAGCGCTCTCATTCCCAGGCCTCCACCCTCCACTCCTCTCATCCAGCTGTGGACCGAAGGACATTTCAGCTTCCTGCTGCACCCAGCTGGTGGATGGTCTTTCAAGTGGTCCCATCAAGAGGCTGGGAAAAAGTCACAGCTGGAACATCTGGAATTCAAGATGGCCACCATTTACTTCCAGTGAGAGGGTCAGCTTCAGGGGAAAAGGATATTCCTACTTGGGCTGACATTCCTAGTGGAAACAAGGGCAGGACCACAGCTGGTTGCTATGGGTGATGCGAGGATGGATGGATGTGGCTCTGTGGCTGAGAACTTACAGAGCTCCATCCCCCAGCACTATGGGAAGAAGGAAGGAAGGAAGGAAAGAAACAAGAAAGCAAGGAAGGAAGGGAGGGAGGGAGGGAGGAAGGAAGGAGAGGTTAGGTTTTGCTGGAGTCTAGACACAGTGAAGGTGATGGGTTAGAGATGAAGTCAAACAGGCTGGGTACAGCCATGGCCTGGACAAGGGCTCATTTTATCCTCCAGGGCTGCATGCCTGATTTGTTTGTTGAGACAGAGTATTGATAACCTTTTTCCATCCTGGCCTCAAACCTTGGTCCTTCCAATTTGTATCTCCCAAATGTCTGGGATTGTGGGTGCCAGCTTATAGTGACACTCATAGTGACTTTACTTATTGTTTATTGTTTTAGTCATGAGGCTTGAACTCAGGGCCTGGGCGCTGTCCCTGAGCTCTTTTGCTCAAAGTTAGCCTCTACTACTTAGAGCCACAATGCCACTTCAGGTTTTCTGGTGGTCCATTAGAGATGAGAGTCTCATGACTTTCCTGCCCTGAAATACTCAGACCTCAGCCTGCTGAGTAGTTAGAATTAGAAGCTTGAGCCACCGGTACCTGGCTTGTTACTTTTTTTTTTTTTTTGTGGTCCTGGGGGTTGAACACAGAGTTTCTCATATGTTAGGTACTCTGCCACTGAGTCACACTCTCAACCCCAAGATTTAAAAAAAATTTTTTTTGGCCAGGTGCTAGTGGCTCTCTCTTATAATCCTAGTTATTCTGGAGGCTGAAATCTGAGGATCCCAGTTTGAAGTCAGCCTGGGCAGGTAAGTCTATGAGACTCTTATCTCCAATTAACCAGCCAAAAGCCAGAAGTGGTACAGTGGCTCAAATGTTAGAGTACTAACTTTGAGCAAAAACAGCTCAGTGACAGGGCCCAGCTCCTGAGTTCAAGCTCTGGGACAGGCACAAAAAATAAACAGAAAACACAATCAGCATTTCAGTGTCTGCCCCTCGATACCCCTCCCACCCCCATCCCCTTTCCTTTCAGACTTGAGAGGAGGGTGATACTGGGTATTCGTTTGATGGACTGGTTGGTTGGGGGTCAGATGGAATGGAGGCTGGTCCTGAAGCTGATGTGACTCATAAAACTCAGCACCGGGAAAGGACAGACACAAATACCAATGAGAGGCCCAGCTGGCTGCAGGGGCTTCTGGGGGAGGTGTGGGTATGTGGGAGGGGCATGTAGCTGCCTCTAAGTCCCTCTGAGCACAGACATAGCAGGAGGATGGGCTGGGTGGCATGGATGAAGAGGGAGGTACCCAGGCACGATGTCCCTCCTAAGAGGATCTGTCCTCACCCACAGCTCCCATTTACCCTGGCTTTTCCTTCACCTTGGCATACTGGCAGTCAGGATTGGAGTGGGGAGTGAAAGTCTATCTGGCTGCAGACATGAGATTTTCAACACTCCATTCGTGGGGGCCAGTGGAACAAACCCCTTTTGTCTCTCTGCCTGGACCGGGGACAGCTGGGCGATGGGAATGGAGAACTGTTGAGAAGGAGGGAAACAAGCTCAGGCCCCTCTCTGCTGGTGGGGAGACACAGTTGTCTACCTCCCACGCCACCTGTGGCTAAAGGCATTTGGGGTTCTGCACCCCCAGGCTTGACCAGTGCCTATCCTGGGAACAGGGAGACAGACAGCTTCCAAAGAATCTTCCAGAAATCCTCAGGTGCCCTCACTGCAGCCCAGGAGCAGGAGAAAGATCCTGAGACTGTCTTTCATGAACTTCAAGCCCAGTGCTCCCCACTTCAAGTCCCAATGCTCCCCAGAGCTCTCCAGGGGCCTTAAAGACACCCCCCCCTAGCATCCTCACTCTGAGTGCATTCTTCCAGCCTGCTCCTGCCTCCTACTCTGGCAATATTGGTTAAGATGAGCTGTGCCCACAATCCCTAGGTAATCCCTATCCTTCCTGGAAGTACCTGTTGGATGGTAAGCAGTGTGGATAGAACTTTCCAGATCCCACTCATCTCTATAAAATAAGTTTAGCCATGCTCTTGCCTCCTAAAAACCACTGTTGTTAATGTTTATCAAAGATTTTGCTCAAAGCAAACAGAGAGTCGGTGGCTCAGGCCTGTAATCCTAGCTGCTCAGGTAGCTGAGATCTAAGGACTGCAGTTCAAAGCCAGCCTAGGCAGGAAAGTCTGTGAAACTCTTATCTCCCATTAATCACCCAAAAAACCCAGAAGTGGAGTGTGCCTCAAGTGGTAGAACATCCAGACTTGAGTGAAAAGAACAGAAACACCCTGAGTTCAAGCCCCAGGACTGGAACAACATCAATAGCAACAACAAAGATTTTGCCCAGTGTCTAGCCCACTATTAGTGTGGGGGTATTCCTGTCCACCCCCATTTGCACTGTGGACCGGCAAAGGCAGGACCAGATCTTTAGTAGTGGTATCTGGAATAAGTTCCTTGGGAAATGTGTGTTGAATGACTAAATTTTTGTTGTAGAATCACAGAAGGGAGTTAAACATGTCTCTAAATTGTCTAAAGACAATTTTTTTTTTTTGTCAGTTGTGGGGCTTGAACTCTGGGTTTGGGTGCTGTCCCTGTGCTCTTCAGCTCAAGGCGAACGCTCTACCGCTTGAGCCACAGCGTCACTTCCTAAAGACAATTCTTTACTGCTGACCAGTAACAAAACTGCAGGCTCTATCTAGCCCTCCCTCCCTCCCTCCCTCTCTCTCTCTCTCTCTCTCTCTCTCTCTCTTTCCCCTCTCTTACCCTCTCTCTCTCTCTCTCACCCTCTCTCTCTCTCTCTCTCACACACACACACACACACACACAAACTAGCAAAAGTGAAGGAGTCATACCTTGGGGGTGTATTGTTCTGGGCTCCTTCTATTCTTCTCCAGTCAATCCAAGCTCCTTACCTTGGACAGTTTAGGAGGGGAAGGACCCCCCCAAGTGTAAATCAATGCAGACCTCTCTCCGTGTCTTTCCAAAGCTGGAAGGGGGGCATAGACAAGGTCCATGGAGATGGCTGGTGGGCCCAGCCTGTCCCCGCACGACCTTAGGCGCTTTGGAGGTGGCCTGAACCGCGGGAGCTGCCCCAGGAAGGGCACCTAGTTGGAGGAGGAGCCACGGGGGCGTGGTCTCCCGGGGCGTAGCCAGTGAGGGGCGTGGCCTTGCAAGGACGGGCAACCCTTCCTCTTCTCACTCCAAGGCTCAGGTTACAGAAAAGCCTTTGAAAAGGTTACAGAAAACCCATCTTTTTCTTCTCTTTCCTATTCTTTTCCTTTATTTTGGTCGGTCGTGGGGCTTGAACTCTGGGCCTGAGCCCTGTCCCTCAGCTCTTCAGCTCAAGGTCAGTGCTCTACCACTTGAGCCACAGCGCCACTTCCCATTTTCGGAGTGGTTTATTGGAGATAAGAGTCTCACAGACTTTCCTGTTCGGGCTGGCTTTGAACGGCGATCCTCATATCTCAGCCTCCTGAGTAGCTAGGATCACAAGCTGAGTGCCCATCTTGTCTCCATCTTTTGTTTTTCTTTCTTTTCTTTCTTTTTTTGTCGTGGGGCCTGAACTCTAGGCCTGGGCGCTGTCCCTGAGCTCTTCAGCTCAAGGCAAGCGCTCTACCACTTGAGCCACAGCACCACTTCCGGCTTTTTATTTTTCTGCTTATGTGGTGCTGAGGAATCGAACCCAGGGCCTCATGCATTCAAGGCAAACACACTACTGCTGAGCCACCTTCCCAGCCCTTGTCTCCATCTTTTCTAAGGAGGCCTGGTTGATCTACTGGGACAACCCTGATATTGGTGGAACTCACCTCATCTCTGACCTCATCTCACCTGGGGGCTGGGAGGTGTTCCAGGAGAGGTGGCCCTCAGCATCCCAGCATTTCCCATCTTCTCCCTCCCTCCCTCCCTCCCTCCCTCCTTCCCTCCCTCCTTTCCTTCCTTCCTTCCTTCCTTCCTTCCTTCCTTCCTTCCTTCCTTCCTTCCTTCCCTTCTTCTTTCTCCTGCACAGGAATTGAACCTAAGGCCTTGCACAGGCTAGGCAAGTGATCTACCACCAAACCTCATTCCCCAGCTCCTAGTATTTTCTCATGGACCAATACTGGGACTTGAACTTAGGGCCCTGAGTACTTCTTTAGCTTTTTTGCTCAAGGCAGATGTGCTACCACAAGAGCCACACCTCCAGTTCCAGCTCTTTGGTGGTTAATTGGATAGGCTGGGAATTGGCTTAGTGGTAGATGCTTGCCTAGCATGCAGGAAGCCCTGGATTTGATTCCTCAGTACTACATAAACAGAAAAAGCTGGAAGTGGTGCTGTGGCTGAAGTGGTAGAGTTCTAGCCTTGAGCACAGTGAGGCTCAGGGAAAGAGCCCTGGCCCTGAGTTCAAATCTCAGGACTGGCCAAAAAAAAAAAGTTTTATGGAGCTGGATGTTGGTGGCTCACTCCTATAAACCTAGCTACTCAGAAGGCTGAAATCTGAGGATCATGGTTCAAAGCCACCCTCAGCAGAAAGCCTGTGAGACTCTTTATCTCCAATTAGCCACCAGAAAACCAGAAGTAATGTTATGACTTAAGTGGTAGAGTGCAAGCCTTGAGGGAAAGAGCTCAGAGACAGCATCCAGGCCCTTAGTTCAAGACACACCACTGGGAAAAAAAAGTCTCATGGACTTTCATCCCTAGGCTGGCTTTGAATTGTGATCCTCAGATCTCAGCCTTCTGGGTAGCTAAGATTACAGGTGTAAGTCACCAGTGGCCAGCTGATTTGTTTAAAGGTCTCAGTTGTTTCACAAGAGCAAAACAGGTCAATGTTTTAAAATAAAAGCCCACAAACAAGGCTGAGGATGTGGCTCAATGGCAGGCAGAGTACTTGACTAGTGAGTTGCAAGGCCCTGGGTTTGATCTCAGCATATACACACAAATAAATAATAATAAATGACACCAGGGCTGGGAAGGTGGCTCAGTGGTAGAGCGCTTGCCTTGCATGCATGAGGCCCTGGGTTCCATTCCTTAGCACCGCATAAGCAAAAAGAAAAAAGCCGGAAGTGGCGCTGTGGCTCAAGTGGTAGGGCGCTAGCCTTGAGCTGAAGAGCTGAGGGACAGCGCCCAAGCCCAGAGTTCAGGCCCCACGACCGGACCCAAAAAAAAAAAAATGACACCAGTAGTGGTAGGGCAGGTCTGTAACTCCTGCACTTAGGAGGCTGGGGCAGGAGCATCTTTGGTAGAATACTTGCTAAGCATGCAGGAGGCCTGGGTTTGATTCCAGCACCACATAAGCAAAAAATAGCCAGAAGTTGCCGGGTGCTGGTGGCTCACGCCTGTAATCCTAGCTACTCAGGAGGCTGAGATCTGAGGATCGTGGTTCAAAGCCAGCCTGGGCAGGAGAGACTGTGAGACTCCTATCTCCAATAAACCACCAGAAAACCGGAAGTGGTACTGTCGCTCAAGTGGTAGAGCGCTCGCCTTGAGCTGAAGAGCTGAGGGACAGCGCCCACGCCCATAGTTCAAGTCCCACGACCGACAAAAAAAAAAAAAAAAAGCCAGAAGTAGCGCTGTGGCTCAAGTGATAGTGCTGCCTTTGAACAAAAAAGGTAAGGGAGAGTGTCCAGGTCCTGACTTCAAGCCCCAGGATCAGCAAAAACAAAACAAATCCTAATTAAATAAATATTATCAGTTGGATATGTTGGTACATACATAGCTGCAATCCCAGCACTCAGAAAGCTAAGGTAGGAAGAGGAGGAGGAAGGGAGAAAGGGATTAAACATAATTAACGTTTTAATTGTACCCTTCCTGAGTTTCTTCACCCAGGCCCCACACAGAGCAGGCACGTGAAAGTGCTTCAGCCATACTCAGTCCTTCAACAAGTCCTGCCAGGATTGTTGTAGTAGACTCCTATATTTTTGTTGGTTGTGGGGCTTGAACTCAGAGCCTGGGCACTGTCCCTGAGCCTCTGTGCTCAAGGCTAGAACTGTACTACTTGTGCCACAGTTCCAGTTCCAGATTTCAAGTGGCTAATTGGAGATAAGAGTCTCACTCCCAGGAACCTTTCTGCCTGGGCTGGCTTCAAACTGTGATTCTCAGATCTTAGCCTTCTGAGTAGCTAGGATTACAGTTGTAAGCCACCAGCGCCCGGCTTGCAGTAAACCCTTGACTTGTATCCCCAGTGCCTCAGCTTACCAGACCATATATCTGCTTAGATGCCCTTGGTGGCACTTGAGCCACACCTTCAGTTCCAGCTCTTTGGTGGTTACTTGGAGATAAAGAGTGTATGGATAGGCTGGGAACGTGGCTTAGTGGTAGAATGCTTGCCTAGCATGCATGAAGCCCTGGGTTCAATTCCTCAGTACCACATAAACAGAAAAAGCCGGAAGTGGGGCTGTAGCTGAAGTGGTAGAGTGCTAGCCTTGAGCACAAAGAGGCTCAGAACAGTGTCCAGGAGTCCGAAGATAAATTTGGTTGTTTTTTTTTTTGGGTCTGATCGTGGGGCCTGAACTCTGGGCCTGGGCACTGTCCCTCAGCTCTTCAGCTCAAGGCTAGCGCTCTACCACTTGAGCCACAGCGCCACTTCCGGCTTTTTTCTTTTTTCTTATGTGGTGCTGAGGAATTGAACCCAGGGCCTTGAGCATGCAAGGCAAGTGCTCTACCACTGAGCGACCTTCCCAGCCCCCGAAGATAAATTTGGACTCTGGCCCCTCCCCTCCAAAGCAGCAACTCACCCCAAGGGACAGAGGTGAAACTCCTAGCATCTGAGCATCTCCCAGGATGGTCAGTGCCTGTCCATGCCTGGGTCACACACAAGCCTCTGCCTGAGAAAACCTCCCCTCCTCCTCCCTCCAGTTCAAGTGCTCCATGGAGCCATTTGTCCCTCTGATGTATTCAACAGAAGCCTTTATCTCTGGATATTTGTACTGAAACCAAAGTTAGCCCAGGGTCCTGCAGTTGATCCCCAATGTCACGCACATAAAGCCAAGTGTGGCTGGTGTGGAGGTAAAAATCTAATCTCAGTGCTTGGGAGGCTAAGACATGAGGATGGTGAGTTTGAGACCAACCTGGTCTACATAATAAGGCCCTATCTAAAAAATAAATAAACTGGGTACCATGGGTGCTCATATCTGTTATCCTAGCTACACAGGGATCAAAAGATCAAAGTTCAAAGCTAGCCTGGGCAGCCAAAGCTATGAGACTTATCTCAGTTAACCAGCAAAAAGCCAGAATTGGAGGTATGGCTCAAATAGTAGAGCACCAGCCTGAGAGAAAAAGCTGTTTGGAGTTTGGAGGTGAGAGGCCCTGAGTGCAAGCACCAGTGCTGTTACAAAAAATGTAGAGAGGGAGAGGGAGAGAGGGAGGGAGGGAGAGCGCATGCTCCAAGTGCCAATTACTCATTGCTGTAATGCTAGCTCCTCAGGAGGCTAAAATCTGAAGAATGCAAAGCTGGCAAGTGAAGAAAAGTCTTCCGGACTCCATCTGCAAAATAATCAGCAAAGAGCTGAGCTGGAGGTATGGCTTAAGTGGTAGAGCCATGAACAGAAGCAAGCCAAGCAAGCCTGAGACCGTAAGCTCAAATCCTGGTATTGCCCCAAGAAATGAAACAAAAACTGAATTCATTAAGTTTAATTTGAATCTGACTTGCAGGAATTGAGCCATATGACCTATGGAGTATTCAAGTGATCCTTATAATTGGGCAGGGGCCACACAATCCCTTGCTTCTTAATTGCTGCCTCCTGCTGCATTAGCATGAACTCCCTGCCATCCCATATTGAATCCTGGCATCTTTCTGTGTCACCCCACAGACAGGTGAGAGCTATTAGCTCCCTGGCTAGGCTGTGAGCATCCCTGTATACATTTGAGGCTCTCCTGCCCCAAATGTATACAGGAAAGGGGTGAACATTTAGGACCTATCAGGCTTCCCCTATAAACTTTACTGTGAATCCAAATCACCTTGGAGGTCTCTGAAGCCACCTAGCAGATTCTCATTGTGGGTTTGGGAGAGGGCTGAGGGCCTGCAGGTGCATGAAGTTCCCCAGGTGTGGCTGGTGATGGGCTCCACTGGGGGCCACTTGCCCCCCTCCCTCCACCAGCCAGGATGTAGCTAGGGGCCCAGGTGGAAGAGTGCCCCACCCCCGCCTGCCCTGGGGTATAAGACAGCAGGCTTCTTTCTCCTCTGTCTGAGCTATCCTGTCGGTACTATGGGGCTGAGCTACGGGCTCTTGCTTTGCCTCCTGCTCTGGGGAGCCCCAGAGCGGTGCTGCCCCTACCCTGTCTTGCTTTCCCAGCCTGGGTCCCCTGAGCCCGTGGCGGTGGAATGTCTGGAGGCTCAGATGGTGGTGACGGTCAGCAGAGACCTTTTTGGTACAGGAAAGCTGGTGCAGCCCGCTGACCTCAGCCTGGGCCCTGAGGGCTGTCAGCCCCTGGTCTCCCTGGACAGTGAAGTGGTCAGATTCGAAGCTGGACTGCATGAATGTGGCAACAGCATACAGGTTGGGGGAGGGGTGCTTGTCTTGGGGGGACTTCCTGTTTCAGAGGGGAAGATGTGGGAGGTAGCTACTGTCAGTAGGGCTGGAGATTGGCAGGGGGGGTGGGGTGGGCAGAACTTGGGTTGGGGAGCCAGGCGCCAGTAGCGCACACCTGTAATCCTAGCTACTCAGGAGGCTGAGACCTGAGGATTGTGATTTGATGCCAGCCCAGGGCAGAAAAGTCCCTGAGCCACTTATTTCTAATTAAATCATGGAAGCCGAGTTGTGTAGAGCACTAGCCTTACACAACAAAGCCAAGTAAGAGCTTGAGGCCCAGACTTCCAGCCTCAGGACTGAAAGAAATGGAAGAGGCCAACAGGCAAAGACACCTGCTCAGCCCTTCCTTACCAGCCAGCCACAGGGCAGGTTGGAGTTTCAAAGCTTTGTTTTCCTGGTGAACTGTAAGCACCCCCACCTCCTGCCCACCATGGGGCTGGACAAAGCCTGAAGCTGCAGGTGAGGGCAATAGCAGTTAACTGTCGCCTTTCTTCAGGTGACAGATGATGCTCTGGTGTACAGCACTTTCCTGCTGCACGATCCCAGCCCCGTGGGAAACCTGTCCATCCTGAGGACCAGCCGAGCACAGGTCCCCATCAAGTGCCGCTACCCCCGGTCAGTTCCCTGCAGGACGGGTGGGTGTGATCCTTGACTCTAGGGAGTCAAAGTTATGGCCCTCAGCTCACATGGTGGTGGGGGATTCTGGGGTCGAGCTGAATCATTATTCCATACCAAAGACACCCTTCCTCCCGCCCCCGCCCCCCACTGCCTCCAGACCAGAGTAGGCCAGCACTGGCCCTCTATCAAAGCCAGGTGCCAGTGGCTCACGCCTGTACTCCTAGCTACCCAGGAGGCTGAGATCTGAGGATTGGGGTTTGAGGAGTCCAGACAGGAAAGTCCATTGAGACTCTTATCTCTGTTAACAAAGCAAACAAAGTGAGTTAACTGGAGATGAGGCTAAAGGCTGAGGCCAGACCTGGTGGTGCACACTTGTAGTTCCAGTTACTCAGGAAGCTGAGATAGAATTGCTTGAGCCTAGGAGTTCAGACCAGAACCTGGGCAACAAAGGAAAAAAAAATGTGTCTCCATGTCTGGAGGATAACCTGACTATAACTCTTCTCTCCATACCATGTGCAGTAAACCTCATGCAAGTAAACCTCCAGGGCAAGGTTCACAGGGAACAGACCTCGCTTAGTCTCCAGACTAAGCTTGTGGTTTCAGGTTATTCTTGTCTCCATTCCTGGAGCCACATGGCTTCCCAGTTGGGATGGCTGGGCTGCCCTCAGGTGAAGAAATTCAGGAGGGTTAAGGGTCAGCCTCAGGCTTCTAGTGCTTTCTTAGTTCATGTGGCCATGGTTAAGACTAAAGGGGGTAGAAAGGATACCTGGAATGGGGGTGGAGCTCAAGGGGTAGAGCACTGAGCTGGCATATGGTTCAATCCCTAGAACTACAGAAACAAGGGGATCCCCCCAATACTGTGGGCCTAGCTGAGGTGTCCCCTGGCTTTTCTCCTAGGCAAGGCAATGTGAGCAGTCATGGCATCTTGCCCACCTGGGTGCCCTTCTGGACCACAGTGTCCTCGGAGGAGAGGCTGATCTTCTCTCTGCGGGTGATGCAGGGTAAGTTGAGAGTTGAGAGAATGGGGGAGGTGAGGACCGCCCGCTCCCCCATCAGTCTCTTTAATTCCTAGCTTTGTTCCCCAGCAAACTGGAGCGCTGAGAAGCCATCCCCCACCTTCTACCTGGGCGAGGTGGCCCATCTCCAGGCAGAAGTTCACACGAACAGCCATTTTCCCCTGCAATTGTTTGTGGACTATTGCGTGGCTACTGCTACACCAGACTGGAGCTCCTCTCCTTTCCACGTCCTCGTGGGCTTCCATGGGTGAGGCCTGGCCCCTTTTCCAGGGAGCTTTTCACTATAGACAGCCGGGTAGCCTCTGTCCCTAGCCTCTTAACCCAATTCTCCACCCTCTCTCCCCACCTGTTGCCTTCCCAGCTGCTTGGTGGATGGTGTCTTTGGCGGCTCCTCTTCATTTCAAGTCCCCAGACCTGGCCCCGAGATTCTCCAGTTCACCGTAGATGTGTTCCACTTTGCCAACGACTCCAGGAACACGGTAACATCATGACTCAAATAACCTGGAATACTGCTGGATTCTGGGTCAGGGTTAATAATGTCCTTAGAGCTCTCCTTAAATAACATTTAGCTTGGGGGTGGGGGATGGAAAGGAGAAGGGATGGGAAGGGGAAACAAAGGAGGAGGCTACAATGCTTGATATGAAATGTACTCACTGTCTTGCCCATGTAATTGTAACCCCTCTGTATGGTATTTTCTTTTTTTTAATTGTGAAGATACTATACAGAGGGTTACAGTTACATGAGCAAGGTAATGAGTACACTTCCTATTGAGCATTGTTACCCCCTCCATTGTTTTCCCCCTACCATCCCTTCCCTCTCTACCTTCCCCAGAGGTTCTTTTTTTTTTAAATTGTGATTAAGTGATTACATAATTTCCCAAATTTCACAGTATTGTGGAATAATGATGCTCATTTAAAATCACAAGTTCATTCTAACTTTCCTGGAGCAAATTGTCTATCACGGTCTGTAACATATAACGGTGTACACATATACACCATACATGTGATTAGCAGCATGGGGATATTTAGTAGTGGTTCGACCAGATGAGTGGAAGTTCTTTGTTTCTTAAGTCCTGTTAATTTTGTCGTATCACCTAACATTTTGGATTTAGCATCCACTTATCAGGGAGACCATGTTGTATGGTATTTTCACAAAAAAGTTTAAGGATAAAAAAATAACATTTAGCTCTGTTCTTAGGCCTTCTAAGCAATGAAACCATAGTTAATGAGGCCCAAAGTCCTCTAACACATGGGTAAGAGGAAGAGATCTGAGGATTGCAATTTGAAGCCAGCCTGGGCAGGAAAGTCTGTAAGACCCTTTCTTGTCTCCAATTAACCAGCAAAAAGGCAGAAGTGGAGGTATAGCTCAAGTGGTAGGGCACTAGCCTAGAGTGAAAAACCTCAGGGACAGTTCCCAGGCCCTGAGTTCAAGCCCCAGGACTTGGACACACACAAAACTATGGGGAAACCACTTTGGGACCTTCCCAATTAGAACCAGGAGAATGTGCCAAGAGGAAGCTAAGTACAAAAAGTTGTTCTCTTCCTGGAAGAGTAACTCTAAAGGCTCTCCAGGAAGGCCTTGCTCTTGTTTTTAGAACAGATGCATGGATAGGTTGCGGGAAGTATGGGAAACTCAGGCTGAATTCCAGGGCTTCAGTTCTGAAATGGTTTTTCTGCTGGTGCACTTGGCCACTAGGGGGCAGTCAAGGGTCAAGGCTAGAAGGTGGAAGGATCTCCATGCCTTCTACTGATGAACCAGGAGATGTCAACAAGTTCTGTCTGGGGGAACTCTGAGATGGACCAGGTCAAACTGACCTGGGGCTCTGACCCCAGGTGCTCTGTGGAAGGTATTAAGAATCATGCAGGGGCTGGGAAGGTGGCTCAGTGGTAGAGTACTTGCCTTGCATGCCCTGGGTTCGTTTCCTCAGCACCACATAAGCAGAAAAAGCTAGAAGTGACGCTGTGGCTCAAGTGGTAGAGCACTATCCTTGAGCTGAAGAGCTGAGGGACAGTGCCCAGGTCCAGAGTTCAGGCCCCATGACTGGAGGGAAAAAAAATCATGTAGATGGCCGGGTGCCAGTGGCTCACACCTGTAATCCTAGCCCCTCAGGAGGCTGACAATCTATCTCCGTTTAAAGCCAGCCTGGGTAGGAAAGTCAATGAAACTCTTATCTCCAATAAACCACCAGAAAACTGGAAGTGACGCCATGGTTCAAGTGGTAGAGCGCTAAAGAGCTGAGGGTCAGTGCTCAGGCCCAGAGTTCAAGCCCCACTGCCGACAAAAAATCATGCAGATGGTTGATTTCAAGCCATTCATTCCAGCAGGAGCTCATCTTGATAAATTAGGGTCAAGCAGCATTTCCCAGAGGCTGAGGGTGGGCCAGTGAGGCAGGGAACCCAGCTTATCAGGGTAGAAAAAGCATATGCCAAGTTGGGTGCCAGTGGCTCACACCTGTACCCCTAGCTACTCAAGAAGTTAAGATCTGAGCATTGCAGTTCAAAGCTAGCTCAGGCAGGAAAGTCTGCAAGACTTTTTTTTGTCGGTCATGGGGCTTGAATTCTGGGCCTGAGTGTTGTCCCTCAGCTCTTCAGCTAAAGGAGAGCACTCTACTACTTGAGCCACAGCGCCACTTCAGTTTTTTGGTGGTTTATTGAAGATAGAGTCTCACTGACTTTCCTGCTGAGGCTGAGGCTGGCTTTGAACCGCAATCCTCAGATTTCAGTCTCCTGAAATTACAGGCACCCGGCCCACAAGACTCTTTAGTCTCCAATTAGCCACCAAAAAAGCTGCGATTGGAAGTGTCTCAAGCAGTCAAGATAACCTGGATTGAAAAATCTAAGGGACAGTGTCTAGGTCCTGGGTTCAATCCCCAGTACCAGTCCAAAAAACCCAACATATGCCAAGAAGATATTGAAGCTGGGCTGGGAAGTTGGCTCAGTGGTAGAGCACTTGCCTTGCATGCCTGAGGCCCTGGGTTCGATTCCTCAGCACCACATAAGCAAAAAGAAAAAAAACTGGAAGTGGCGCTGTGGCTCAAGTGGTAGGGCACTAGCTTTGAGCTGAAGAGCTGAGGGACAGTGCTCAGGCCCAGAGTTCAGGCCCCACAACCGGACCAAAAAAAAAAAAGAGATATTGAAGCTCAGGAAAGCTACCCACAACATCTCAAGTAGAAACTTTAGAGGAATTAGTAGGAAACATCTGTCTCCAAGGATCTCAGGTCACAAAAGGGACAGGCCCATGTCCCCAGCAACTACATCACTGAAGAATTTGTGAGCTAGTCAAGTGGTAAGTGGTCTTAGCCTGCTAGAAAGATTATCATACACGTTGGTCACCTGGAGCAGGGGAGGGGACAGCAGGGAGACAGATTTTGGGGCTCAGAGCTGAGCATTCCCAAAAGACTGAGAAAGTCTGGGAAAGAACCACAAAGATTCTGGGCCCTGGTGGCTCACACCTGTCATCCTATTCAGGAGGCTGAGATCTGAGGATCATGGTTCAAGCCCAATCCTGGGCAGGAAAGTCCCTGAGACTTTTTTTCTTTTTTATTCTGCTTATGTGGTGCTGAGGAATTGAACCCAGGGCCTCATGCATGCAAGGCAAGCACTCTACCACTGAGCTACCTTCCCAGCCCCGTCCCTGAGACTCTTATCTCCAATTAACCACCAGAAAACAAGAAGTGGAGCTGATTAAAGTGGTAGAATGCTAGCCTTGAGCAAAAGAGCTCAGCCTTGAGCAAAAGAGTTCAAGCCCATGACCAACCAAAAAAAAACACAAAAACCCACAAAGATGATGGCTCCAGTCTAGGCTGAGAAGTTTTCTGACTTATTCTGCCAACTTTTAGAGCAAGTCGGCTCCTGGATCATCTTGGAGAGGGAGCTCTAAAGTGCTAAGAGTTGATAACTAGCTTGTTGGCCTGGCAAGGGTGTACATGCCTATAATCCAACAAAGAAGTATAGGTATAAGGATCCAGTTAAGTGGAGATTAAAAAGTCTCAACAGACATTTCTGCTGGGGCTGGCTTTGTATCTTGATCCTCATATCACAGCTTCCTGGATTACAGATGTGGGGTACTGGTGCCTGACCCAGGGCAAATGTTTGAGATCTTAAAAAACTAAACACAAAAATGCACAAGCCTGAAGTGTTGGGTTCAGTCCTCAGTACCACAGTGGCTTATTGGCACAGCCTAGAACTCAGACCCCTGACAGCTAATTTCTTTCAGATATACATCACCTGCCACCTAAAGGTTGCTCCAGCCAACCAAGCCCCAGATCCAATGAACAAAGCCTGTTCTTTCAACAAGTCTGCCAACAGGTGAGGGGAACAGAGCCTTCTGGGTGGAGTCCAGTCTGAGAGGATTTATTTGTAACGCTAAGCTTCCTATCTTTTCCTTTCAGCTGGTCACCAGTAGAGGGTGCCGCAGACATCTGCAAATGCTGTGACACTGGTAATTGTAGCAGGCCAGACCAATCCAGAGGCATGAACCATAGGTGGACCCAGGCACCCGATGTGGCTTCGAGGAAGCGCAGACACAGTAGGTCACACACTGAGCTAGTGACTGCCTTCCTTTCTCTGGTTCCAGGGCACTTGCTGTTACTTAAGGTGTCGTTCCTTCCTTTTGTGTCTCCTTAAGGCTGTTTACCAAGGGAGTATACTTAATGAATGTAATAGAAATGTTGAAGCTAGGTGCCAGTGGCTCACACCTGTAATCCTAGCTATTCAGGAGGCTTGAGATCTGAGCAGGGCAGTTGACAGATACCCAGGCAGGAAAATCTGAGACTCTTAATCCCCAATTCATCACCAAAAAAGCCAAAAATAGAGCTGTGGCTCAAGTGGTAGAGCATCTTTGAGCAAAAACACTAAGGGACAGCACTCTGGACCTGGGTTCAAGTCAGGACTGGCACACACATTTCAATCTGGAGGGTCTGTATCTCTTCCCCAGGAGAGGGGGTGGTCTGTCTGCTGTCCTTGACAAAGCATAGGAGAACGGACCTACAGAACCATAACTGAATTCCTGCTGAGGGAATCACAACTTTCCAAGCTGGGTGTGGCGGTCACATTTAAAACCCCAGCATTTAGGAAGCTTAAGGACAGACTTTGGGGCCAGTCTGGGCTCCATATTGAGCTAGCTACCATTGGGTAGTGATGTGTTTACCTAATGTATGTGTATGTGTGTGTGTGTTGATGTTAGAACTGGGGCTTAAACTCGGCTGGGCACTAGCCCTTAGCTAATGCTCTATTTGAGCCACACTACTTCTGTGAGACTTTTTTCCAATAAGAAAAATCCAGCTCTGTCTGCCCAGGCTGGCTTTGAGCTTCAATTCTGAGATCTCTGCTTCCTGAGTAGCTTGGAATATAGGCATGAACTCCTGGCTCTAGGACTATTTTTTTCCTTTTTAAAACCAAGTGACCTTCCTGTGTCCCATTCGTGTGTCCTGTTCCCTCCACAGTGACAGATGAGGCTGATGTCACTTTGGGGCCGCTGATCTTCCTGGGGAAGACTGGGGACTACGATGTGGAGGGTTCCACCTCTCCTGCTCATCCCTCCATGGCGCTGGGCTTAGGCCTGGCCACTGTGGCGCTGGTCACCCTGGCCGGGATCATCATGGGTCTGGCCAGGGGTTGTCACACTGCTGCCCACTCCATGTCCCCTTCCCAATAAAAGAAGAAAACTGGCTGTGGGCGTGTCCATGACTGTAATGTGGGATCTGGGTAGTTGCTGGCCACTGGGAAAAGAGTACCCTGGTCACTGGGGAAAGAGTACCCTGGTCTCCAGGGAGAACCACCAGACCTCCAGGGAGCAAACACCTGTCTGTCTAGACTGATTGCCCCATCTAGTCACCATGGAGGCCTAGATAGAAGCTGTTGGGGTAATGGTACAGTAAGCCCAAGGCAGCCTGGTTTCTAAGCTAGCGAAAGAGTTCTGTGGTCATGATTCGAGGGCAGGAAGGAAATGGGAGTTAATGGCTCCCTTCCCCAAAAGCAGCAGGCAGTTACATGCCTAGATGTTGAGGCCTGAGGTGAGGTGTGGCTGGGACCCCTAATAAGGGAATGTGATCTCTACTTCCTGGACTGGGTGAGTATTGTCATGTTAGAGGTACAAACTGGTCATGGGCTCTGGGGGAGGTATCTCTGACAGTTACAGACTTCTGGGGGACTGGGATCTACTTTCACCTTTTGGTCTTTTTGTTATTGTTGGTGGTGGTGGGGTTTGATCTTGGTGATTGGGTGTTATCCCTGAGCCTCTTTGTGCTCAAGGCTAGTACTCTACCACTTGAGCCACAACACCATTTCTGATTTTTGAGTGGTTAATTGGAGATGAGTCTCATGAACTTCTCTGGGCTGGCTTCAAACCAGGATCTTCAGATCTCAGGCTCCTGAGTGGGATTTACAGGCATGAGCCAACTCTTTGGTCTTTTTGTTGTTGTTGTTGCCAGTCCTGGGGCTTGAACTCAGGGCTTGGACACTGTCTTGAGCTTCACTTGCTCCAGGCTAGCATTCTACTATTTGAACCATAGTACTACTTCTGGCTTTTTCTGTGTATGTGGTACTGAGGAATTGAACCCAGGGCTTCATGCATGCTAGGCTAACACTCTATCACTGAGCCATATTCCCAGCCCCTCTTTTGGTCTTTTTAAGAGGAGTAGTTAGGGTCTTGGTAGGTAGCACAGGCTTGCCTCAAACTTCACCACCCTCTTGCTGAAGAATCCTCACTGCTGGGATTACAGGTATGCACTGTTACACCCAGCTCCTGATTTCCAAATCTGCTGTCTCCCTGTGCCAGGTTTTGGCTGAAGCTTAGAGTGCCTACTAAGGGAAAGAGTCTACAGGACATGACCAGAAGGAAGTGGGCAAGTCCCTATGTTGAGAGGCACAAAGCCCTCACCAGTGAGCTGGCTCTCATCTTCCCCAAAACCCATTGGGCAGTGACAAAATCCACAATAGACTAGAGCAAGATGGTGTGGTTTGGTGTCCAGAGACCAGGATACTTTTGATCATCTGAAGTGTGGGCTGCAGATATTGGCACCACTAGGGAGACGTGAAATAATTATAGGCCAGAGACTCAAAACCAATGGATTGTATTTCTGGGTCAGACCATTTGTCCAATATGCCAGAGATGTGCCAGCCAGGTGCTGATGGCTCACGGCTGTAATCCCAGCTACGTGGGAGTCTGCTATCTGAGGATCGAGGTTCAAAGTCAGCCTGGGAAGGAATGTCTATGGAACTCATCTCCAATTAGAACACTGGCCCTAAGGAAAACAAAACACACAAGCTGGGCACTGGTTGCTCACGCCTGTGATTCTGGCTGAGATCTGAGGATCATGGTTCAAAGCCAGCCCAGGCAGGAAACTCCATGAGACTCTTATCTCCAATAAACCACTAGAAAACTGGAAGTGGCATTGTGGCTCAAGCAGTAGAGCGCTTGCCTTGTGCTGAAGAGCGCAGGGATAGCGCCCAGGCCCAGAGTTCAAGCCCCACTATCAACAAAAAAACAAAAATCCCACTAAAGCTAAGAAACAGCACTCAGGCCTTGAGTTCAGGACCCAGGACTGGCACATACACACACACACATGATTGATAGTGAAGGACAGAAAGACTTCATAGTATGGGAAAAGGCAAAGTGAACGGGTGAGTACATCTTTCAAGTAGAGATGCCAGCTCAGAGTAAATTGAGTAGGGGTGGGGTAAGGTGTGTTTAATTATTAAACAGTGGGTTCCAAGCAAAGTGCAACCTGCTGATCATTATCTGGTTATCTGTCTTCACTGGAGGGGATCAGTCTGGTTCCCACGATTCCCATTCCTCCTGCTCAGAGGTACAGCATCATTATAGGTGATTGTCTTCCTTGTGGGGGTGGGAGGGTCTCACAGGGCTCTGATCCTTTCCTTCCAGGGAGTTTCAGTCATAAAGATGTTATCTAAGCTAAGGCACCAGTGGCTCACACCTGTAATCTCAGCCATTAAGAAAGTTGAGATCTGAGCATTTCTGTTCAAAGCTAGCCTGGGGATAAAAGTCCCACAGGACTCTTATGTCCGATTAATAAAAAAAAAAAAAAAAAAAGAGTTGTGTCTCAAGTGATAGAGGGCTAGCTAACCTTGAGAGGGAGCAAGCTAAGTAGAAATGCAACTCCTTGAGTTCAAGCCCCAGTATCAATACACAAGACCGGGCTAGAGATATGACTCAAATGGTAGAGAGCCAGCTAAGAAAACAAGCTGAACACGTGTGAGACAGTGAAATCAAGCCCTGGTACCACATACACACAGTTTGGGTGGACACTTGCTGGAGGGGCAAGGGAATACCCAGAGAAGGATGGGGGAGGTGGCCCTGTGGGAGGAGGAGGAGGAAGAGGGAGAATCTTTGTGTGTATGGGCATGCGCCTGTGCACACCAGTCCTGGAGCTTCAACTCAACACCTGGATGCTGACCCTGAGCTTTTGCGCTCAAAGCTAGTGCTCTACCACGAGCCACAGCTCCACTTCTGGCTTTTTCCTGGATCATTGGGGCTGAGTCTCACAGCCTTTCCTTTCCCAGCAGTTTTGAACTGTGATCCTCAAGATCTCAACCTCCTGAGTAGGATTACAGGCATGAGTACCAGGCTCCTAGAAATGCATAATTATTGAATATTCATTGTCACAGTATGTCCTGGCTGATCACTGTCTCAGTCCTTGCTTAGGAAGAGGGTTTGGAGAAGTTGTTCTGCGGTCATGACCGGTCAGGATAAACAAGTCATGGTGTCCTGAGGAGTCTGCTGTCCCTCCAGGGTAATTTCTGCTCCCAGCAAGATGTTCCTGGTCCCTGATGGGTCCTGTCCTTCCCAGATTCCCAGCTGGATTATACAGGGGCTGCCAAGAATGGCATAGAGAAGAGAGAGCCCTTCTTCCAAGAACTGGAAGTCATTGCATGAGTGTAACTTTCTATGATTCCCACCATGAATACCATCTGTTCCCTGGGTGTTGTAACATTGAGTTGTCCTTCAGTCCTTTCCTCCGTGAAAAGAGGAAGTGCCTGGGTGGGGGTAGGGAGGAAATGTGCTGAGGGGGCCAGCAAGGATGTCAAAGTCAAAGGCCTGGCTTCCTGCCTCTGGGTGGAGCTAGACTGGTATAGAAAGGAACTAACTGGCAGCTGGGCGGGGTGGGGGGTGGGAGGGTGGAGAGTGCGTACTAGGGCTTGAATTTAGGGCTTTGGGCTCTCATTTGACTTTTTCTGCTCAAGGCTGATGCTCTATCACTTTGAACCTCAATCCTCAGATCTCAGCCTCCTGAGTAACTGGATTATGGGATAAGCCACCAGTGCCTGACAACTGTCTTTTTTTTTTTTTTTTTTTGCCAGTCCGGAGGCTTGAACTCAGGGCCGGGTTCTCCTCTGAGCTGAGCTTCTTTTTGCTAGCAGTGCTCTACCACTTGAGTCATAGTTCCACTTCCAGCTTTTTCTGTGATTAATTGGAGAGAAGAGTTTCATGGATTTTCCTGCCTGGACTGGGTTCAAACTGTGACCCTCAGATCTCAGCCTCCTCAGGATTATAGGCTTGAGCACCAGCGTCCAGCCTGACAGTTGTGTGTTACTATCCATTACTGAAAACTTCTCATGGAACAGCTCCCTACACCTGGTCAATCAACTTTGTCCTTGTGCTTCCTTGTGGCCAGGTTTTTAGGGGAAAAAGGGGAAGGAGGCAAGAAGAAATGAGGTGTTAAAAGACAATGAGAGCTAGGTGCCCTGTGGTTCATATGACTGTAATCCCAGCTGCTCAGAAGGCTGAGATCTTTGGTTCACGGTTCAAAGCCAACCCAGGCAGGAAAGTCCATGCATGAGACCCTTATCTCTAACTAAACACGAAAAAGCAAGAAGTGGAGCTGTGGTTCAAATGTTAGAACCTAGCCTTGAGCACAGAAGCTCAGGGACAGCGCCCAGGCCTTGAGTTCAAGCCCTAGTGCCAGCCCTGCACCCTTCAGACAATCATGACAATGAGGAAATATTTAAGATTTTGTTTAATTAAAATGTTAAAAGTAGTTTAGTGGTATCAACTAATTAATTGAATTAAAAATCCATTACATTTCTGAAAGGAAGGGAGGGGAGGTGGAAATGGCTATCTTCTACTTTCTAGACCTATGGCTGGGATGAGAATTAAATTGATATAAGACAGATTCACAAGAGAAACATATTTTAATTATGCACATGTGCACAGGAGGCCCACAAAATTATGAGTCTCTTGCTGGATGCTGGTGGCTCACACCTATCATCCTGGCTACTCAAGAGGCCAAGATCTGAGGATTGTAGTTCGAAGCCAGCTCAGGAAGAAAAGGATAGGAGACTTTTTTTTTTGGTCGGTCATGAGGTTTGAACTCTGGGCCTGGGCTAGGAGACTTTTTTTTTGGTGGGTCCTGGGGCTTGAACTCTGGGTCTGAGCGCTGTCCCTCAGCTCTTCAGCTCAAGGTGAGCGCTCTACCACTTGAGCTACAGTGCCACTTCTGGAAGTGGTTTATTTTATCTCCAATGAACCACCAAAGGCCAGAAGTGGAGCTGTGGCTAAAGTGGGTAAAGCACCAACCTTGAATGAAAAAGCCAAGGGACAGTATCCAGGCCTTGAGTTCAAAACCCAGGACCAGCACAAAAAAGAAGAAAAAAGAGTCTAAGGAAGGTCAGATTGTAAGAGGTAATTTAAAGCCA